ATGTTTTCGTCGCGCTGTGATGACGTCACGTACGCGCTTTCGTCGAGCACACTTTTGTCTACCGCGGTTTTGTGGTGGAACCAAACACGTGTATCCTCACCTCCGCTTCATCGGAGGAATGGAGATAGAGCAATGGACGGATCAAGGTTGGAGGTATCTGAATGTTGAACTGTAAGTTTGCTACTAAGAATCCCTGTTAATAAATTGATCTGGGAGACACCGATTCTAAAGCGTGAAGTTTAAAGCCGGCTGGCCCCTGGCACGGTTGCACGCCGGGTCAAGGACAAGTCCTGATGAGCCCAGGCTGGTTTCTGCCCCTGGCAGCTGAAAGGCCCTCCGTGGGTGCTAAGAGGGGGCCAGGCTGCGTCAGCTGCTTCCTCGGATGCTTGGCTGCTGTGCCCTCGGCTGGCGTCTCCTGGCAGACGGGCAACCGTACCGGTTGGATAAACAGAGACGAGCCATCATCACCCCCCTCAGGGAGCAGGGAATCCCCCCTCCCCACTTCCATCTGGGAGGAAGGGCTTCCCTGCTCTGCCCAACGCCCCTCCCAGCCACCCTGATCCTGGCCCTGGGGGGAGAGAAAAGGATATGCCCCCCCCCTTTTTTTCCCTCTCAAACGAAAGAGCCCCGAGGCTTTTCTTCCCATTGGCTGGATTGCCCACCCCCCCCATGTCCTTTTTCTCAGGGGGTGTGTGGCCCAGGCTGCACCCTCCCCCTCTCCCCCCCCCACCTCCCAGAGAATTCTGTCCAGCCAGCCTGTTTTCAGTCCCTTCCCCCAAGAGTTCCTAGCTCTTGGGAACTTCTTGCCTACAGCTAGTCCTCAACTTATGACCACAATTGGGACAGGAACTTTCGTTGCTTCGTGAAATGGTTTTTGAGGGAGCCGCACCCAATGTTATGACTGTTTTGCCGTGGCTGTTAAGCGAATCACTATGGTTTGTTAAGCGGATCCAGCTTCCCCGTTGGCTCTGCTTGTCGGAAGCTGGCTGGGGAGGTCGTAGGTGTGGATCATGTGACCCCCCCGGGACGCTGCAGATTTTGTAACTCTGGGTTGATTGCCAGGCGCCTGAACTTTGGTCACGCGACTGTGTGAATTCTGTGACCGTCATAAGTGCGAGGACTGCTTGTAAGCACCGTTTTAACTTGGAGTGGTCATTAAATGGATGGTTGTAAGTTGAGGACAACTTCTGCAACGGTGTGGGTGCGTGTGTGTGTGTCTGTGTGTGTTCCCAGGATGGATGGATGGCTTTGTGCTTAATGAGAGGGAATTGCCTGAACCGCCTTCTCTGGTGGGTCAAGGGTGAAGGCAACTGCCAGACCCCTCCCCAGGCAGTGGCGGCAGCCCCCACCGGTTCTGCCACAGGCAGCCGAAGCCTCTGTCGTTTATAACCATGATCATTTTCCTTGCAGGGTGAAGTGGGCTGTTTCCTTTCTGCGGCTGCCTCGCCTTTGACTCACTGCCAGCTTGCCAGACCCCCAGGCTCCCCAGTTCTCCCTGCACCTCCTCCCCACATCCGGGGCTCCGGCACCGGGACTTCAACAGGAGCTACAGCCTGTCCAAATGAAACCTCTCCCCAAATTCCCAGGAAGGAGTAGCACAGGGGGAGCTGCCCATAGCGATGGCATTTGCACTCTTGGCCAGACAAGGCCCCTCGGGAGACCCCCTTGTGACCTCCCCCCACCCCAGGCCTTGACATCTCCACCTGGCAGGATCCAGAGCGGTGGGCCTGGCCTTTGCTTGAAAGGAAAGCAGGTGCTCCCCTTCCCCTTCTGGGGTGCAGAAAAGGCCTGACCACCCAGGTGGGGTGTTGTCACATAATTCCTTGTGTAGGTGTGGCGGTCACCCATGACCCAGTGCATAACAGGGCATGCGCAGCCACGCTGAACCACAGGNTGCTCTTAGCATTAGCTTTTCTAACATTCAGCTAGGATCTGTTTTCCTTGATCATAAGACTGGTGACCATTGCCGTTATTTCTGGTTACTTTCTTACCTGTTCCAGGTGATTAATAAAAATACTTAATGAACTTACGATTTACCTCGGGATATCCTTTCCAATTCCTTATTTAAGCTTGATCGGGAATCACCAATAAGAACTTTTTGAAAAACATTTTCAATTAAACTGACGATCTCCCTAACGGATATGTCATTCTACCCATACTAAATTCAATTACTAGCTATAATGTAAT